TTTCCAGATAGCATTGGTCAATGAAATCAGTCACCAGTGAAGCAATTTTGAGTGCAGCAAAAATCGAAGAGAGTTCGTTTTTGTTCGACTGAACCGGAAATCCGGTTGGGAACCCGCTGGTCGACGAGCAAACTAAATAGACGGCATGAGAGGACAACCCGTATATTCGCCGGAATACATGGATCGCGTCGAAAGAATTCAACTTTTTATTTTCATGCAGTCCGGAAACTTTATTTTTATGGGAAGCATCAAGTCCCGAACCACAAAAAAAAAAGGTTACTGTACAGGATTTTTTTTGCATGCGACCTTCCAACGAAGGAGAATATTATGAAGAGAATCTTTCGTGCAATTTTGAAAAGCCTATAAGTTGGCTTCAAGAAACCACCTTGGAAATTTGAGAAAGTTTCTTCGGGTCTCGATCGAAGTGGTGTGACGGGAGTGTGAATCTGAATATGCCCGAAATATTGCATAAGGGTGAAAATCCAAGTAACAAGCGTAAAATTTGAACAGATTTTTAAAAGGTATTTGCAGATTAATTGCAGTATCGGGTTCAGATGGGGAGGGTTAGGTTCTGGTTCCGTTTTCGTAGCCCTGTCGCATAAAAGGTCTTGAAAAGCGAGCAATTTTAGTAAGAAAGTAATACTCTAAGCTTTGAAAAATCGAAAATCTACACACAAAGGCGGGGAATTTTGAAACACGTGTCTTGAGCACTTTTCCCTTATCTGAGAGGGGGTTTTTCAAACTACAGTCGAACCACTTGAAGTTGAACTAGAATGAACCAGCAAAAAAAATCGATTCATGCTCAGGGAGGTTTCAAGTGAGGGAAACAATAGTTTGTGTCGGCGGGAAGAAAGAAAGAATTGCATGACATCGTAATTCAATTGATCGCACGATTTATCTTCCACTTTCTTTCCAAACAAGTCAAGTGGCATTTTGTTGGGTTTCTCTATGAGGATTCGAGTTTTTGAGGTTCGAGAAAGAGAGTCTTTGAGTTAGGGAGGCATTGTTTTGAATGAAATTTAGACAGGTGCAACAAAATATTTAGACACGGGGAGATATTTGAGTTGGGGAGGTTCGAATTATCGAGATTCACATGCAGGGCTTTTTTTTAGACATTTGACATGCGAATCCTTGATCGATGGGGAGTATTTTTGCGATCATAACGGAAGTCAGGATTTTTGTTCGTTTGGTCTAGAGTTTGAACGAATTATGTGAGACAATTATTGGATACAACACTGATTCAAGGCTCCCGAGTAACTGTTTAATTATTCTTCGACTGGCTCTCCTTGAGGCAAGGCTCGTCCTTCTTTTCTTACGTTGAAACGGACGACCAGCACTGGCAATGTTGCAGTGCCTTCATGCGCACAGTCGTAAAAGTTCTTGTGCAACAAGTGGCAAAGAAAAAAAAGAAGCGCTTGAGCCACACCAAGAGTAACTGCTATCACATATCATTCATATGAATATGTACTGAGCGACGATATCGATTCCAAGATTTGCCTGCGGTTTTGTACCGATTATTTTTAACGATAACGTTTGTAGATTTTAGACGCATTCGCTCATTTTCTTTAGAATCAGGTGGGCCTCATAAAATATTTACTTCATCTAAAGCCACTCTTGTCAATTGTTCAAATACTGTACTGCACTTTCTGCAAATGACAGTCAGAAGCCTCGAATCTTGTCGTGCTTAAGATTTCTTTGCGTACCGTTAAGTAATAAGTACGTAAAACACATGAAATAAAAACTAACCGGTCTTATAAACTTTATTTAAACACTCTTTTAGTTGTAAATCACCTTGTGAACACTGACAAGCAGCAAATAAAGATTTCAAACAATCAAACTATATGAAGAAGATTGGAAATACTGTACTGTAAATTATTCCTTGGCGTTGTGCGTAAAATGTTTAGTTATTTACAGTATTATTTATTTCTTGGAGGTTATTTTTATTTATGCAATTGGAAATTATGGGGAGGTTTTTTTAATTGCATGGGAGGCAATGCTTTGGATTGAATTTTGAGTTCATCAGGAGTGATCAGTTCGCATGGAAATCTAAGCTGACGTCGGATCCGTTGAATATATCAATTGTCCTGATTTCGCAGACCCAATTTTCAATCAGGAATGAGCCTCGCACTTTTATTAAAATAATCACGTTATATTGAAAGATACGAGTTCGTCGGTTATTTTCGCATTGAGCACTTGCTTTCATAGTACTGCTTGTTTGCCTTGTGGCATCAGAAAAGCATTTCACAGTTACCCATGGTAGTTTTCGTTATGCTTTTATTCACATGATGCACTCCTGAAAAAAAAACGGGTCGTGATGATAATAGTTCAGCTTTTTGCGCGCCAACCATGACGTTCGCAATAGTATGCACCGCTGTTTTAATTATTGACTGGAAAACATGATGCCATTGTTATTTTGTGAAAGGTGGTGTTCCTGTGGCAAGCAAGCCGTCCCAGACCGGAAGTTGGTTCCAGGTTTTGTTGGCTGAGCAACAAGATGATGCTGTTCCGATTCGTCGACAGTACAAGCAGTGAGCTTTCCACTTGCAACTCTCATTCATAAAATCCCGATGTTGTGATTTTATGAATCACAACATCAGGAACTGGTGTGATTGTGACATAGGCCATGATGTTCTGAGGTTCTGCAATTTGTTGTTTGAATCTTGAAAAAACATATTCAAATTTATACCGCATGATGATAAGGGCGAAATTTCCAGTCAGAGATCTGCATCCATATTTAGCACATGGTGCTAAATATTTGTCAGGCGCGTTAAAAATTGAATGTGTTTTGATTTACCCTTCCTCTTTTCTACATATTAAATTATCAAAATGACAAAAATTCAAATTTTTAGCTGGCCTGGGAAATTTTTGTCACCCTGTCACATTGATGGAGAATTCTGCCTAGTTAGGGCGAACAAGTTTCAATTAAGCATCATTCAGTAAATTGAATTTATTTTTAATTCGAGAAAATTCTTAGAGCAGCATGTGCTACGTAACGATTTTTAAAAATCATACGCTCTAAAGAAATATCGAGTGAGGGAAACAAGAATTTGTTGGCAGGGAAAGAAAGAAGAAACGCAGGATATTGCCTTTGATGAAACTCTATAGGTCCCAACGTGCTTCTTAAATGATTGACAGGATGCTTAACTTTGAGGCAAGAGTTCATTTGCCCAATATTGGTCTTTCACTTTCTTTCAGAATCCATCAGGTTATATTTTGATTCCTTTTCTTCTCTCTGTGTTGATACAATAATAGCAGAAAGGCCTCCAGAAAATTTGAATTATGGAGGTTCGAGGGGGAAAGCATCAAGATATTCAGGAGGTTTTTTAATGTATCGTTTTTATGGATTTCAGACCAGGAATTGAAAAAAAAGTTGAAATAGGGACGTGTTTGACTTGGAGAGGTTAGAATTATCCAGGTTCAACTAAACTTCTCCAGAACAGATTTGGATGTGTTTCTCTGAAAGTTATATGAATGAATGAACAGAACACTTTATTTGCTGCTTCTCAGTGTACAGAACACTTTAAAGTCCGCAGTGGGAGGAACGAGCAGTAGGATCCTACAGGGGTCTGGGGGGCAATAATAAGGACGTCATGTAACATGTGTCTGGGGCGTATCAATTTTGCACCTTGTTTAACTGTTTGTTTCTCATCCATTACATTAAGTTGTCAGGATGGCCAAGCGGTCTAAGGCGCTGCGTTCAGGTCACAGTCTGGTTCTGCAGGCGTGGGTTTGCATCCCACTTCTGACATTTGTTTTTTCATTTTTTTTTGTTTTTTCGTCCACACTATGGACGCTCTACTACTTGTTTGCCGCTTCTCAGTGTTCACAAGGTTCAATTGAGATTTCCACAACCGCTGGGGGAAGGGTGGGTTGGGTTTAAGTGAGTTACTGTAAATTAGTGAAGTCTCGTCCTTTCGTGTCTATCTATTGTTTTTAGTTTCTTTTATGTAATGTTGTACTTTATGTTGACCTGTAGACTGTAGCATGCATACACCCATTCACTCCCTGACATTGGTGAAAAAAATATATATGTAACAATTAATTTAAAGCACAAGGTCTTCCACTTGTTTCTGTATGAGGTTTAGTTGAACAAACAAATTAGAGAGAATCTTTGATGAGAAATCATATAAATCCAACAGTTTATCTTGATCCTTCAAGATTTCAGAAAGGGTCTCTTCATTGAATTCCAGTACTGTACTTTTAAATTTTTCTTAAGCTTGTTTCTATCCATTTGAAATGCTGGACATAAGAAGAGAAGGTGCTCTGGTGATGCGCAAACTAATGTATTTATATGCTGCAGATGTTACACCATTTAGACACTTCTGAAAATTGGATGAATTTTTTACTCAAGTGCCATGAAAGTTATAAGAAACAAACCAAACTCCTCTTGGCTTTTAGTCTGCCTCATCTGGACTTATAACAGCAGCTCATCAGTCTCTTCCCGAGAATTATTCAACGTTGATGAAATGAAAACGTCCGCAGGTTGTTGGAGTACGACATGGAGTCGCCAGTGGCCCTGGCCACAGCTGCACAGTCCCCAGAGACGAAAGAAAAGTACAGCGGAGAGTTGGACGATGCCGGGAAACCAGTGATCATCAGCCACAACTACAAAGAGCACCATTTGAGTGCCAAAGACCGACAGCGGATATTCGAGGCTCCGTACAACTTCCTCAGTGCGAATGACAAGTTCGCCTACTATCAAATCGCGTCGCCGTTTCGTCGCCGCGACTTCCGGCTCCCCAAGGACCCGCTCATTCTCGCCAAGAATGCTTGACTCGATTTGACTGCGTGTTTGTGCCATTTATTTTTTTTTTTTGCTGCCTGGGAAGGTCATGTTCATACAATCTTGAAACCCCAATGCGATTCATTCCTTGTGTCTCTCATCAGTTTTTAAACAAATGGCATGAGTCAATTCAAGGTTTTTATGATTCAAACATTATCTTGGAAATTTTACAGATTTTCATAAGTTATACCCCGACATGCGGACGTAAATCGGTGCTTGAACCTTGTCCCTATGTCGAATAAAGTTTTTCCAGCTCCATCATAGACTTAGATGCGAATATATTTAATTGGTTCTCATGTTGATCAAAAATTAGGAAAAAGCCCCAAAAATGAAATGAACGACCTTTTCTCAATTTCAAGATATTCAGAAAATAACTGTGCAGAATAAAATGACACAGAATCAGATATTTTGGCTTGAAAAAGAGCCCCAAAAGCGAAAGTCTTCAAGCACTCTGTTCGAATGATGGAAAGAACTCTCAAATGAATTTCACAAAATCAGTCTGTTTTGCATTGTGAATCATTGTGTATTTAAAATAAAATTGATTTTTAATTCTTGTGAATATGAATAACTCGATTTGATCAAGAGATGTCAAAATTTCGAAAAATTAGATTTTTCCATTTGCCTAGAACTGTTGATCGAGTGTCCGTATCAGGAGACATTTTCCGAATGTCAGGGCATATTTTTTTGGTCATCAAGTGTCCCGAAGTCGAATCTTTACGGGCCTCGCCATAATGTATCCATGCACACCTGAGTTTCCACACGAACTTCGCTTTTCGCAATAGAACATTTTTTGCGTGATTTCGCGAATCAAATATTTTCGGAAATTTCGACTCGAAAAGTTGGGTTTATTATGGTAAATTTTCCGAGAGCTGAACTGAAAGCAGCCCCACATTATCCGGTCGTCGGTTCAACGTCCTGAGCCATGTGCATTGGAGGCTGAGAAAACTCATTTCCGTTGCGGAAGAAACGACCGCAAACCACCCGAAAGGCCTAAATTTTTCAGTCGTTAAAGTGAGCGCTTCTCTTCATCCTCGTTCATCTTCAACACATTAACAAACGCAAAGAGTGTATACGAAAGAAGAGAACAGGTCATCGCCTAGAATTCGGGTTACAAATGTTTTTCCTTTGACATTTTTCCTGTACGATGGCAAGATAAACTAACAAAAAAAGTATGATCAAAGCCGAAGGGATCCAATTATGAAGTAAAGAGGCATGAAAATTCCAACACAAACGCGATCAATCAGCTGCAGCAATTTTTTAGGACTACCTTATATATTCGACACTTGAAATATGCATGTTTCGTGGCATACAAGCATATTTTAATGGCTCTTATATCACATAATATTGTGACTTTTTTTATACCGAGACTCTCCATAATGGTAGAAAAGATGTCCAAAATTACAGTTAAAGATGAGTAATTCAGGTGAAGATGCAGAATCGTTTGCGGTTGTACGGCTATTTCAGAATGAGTCAACGGAAATGAAAGGAGTTCTATCTCATGAACTACAGTATCTTACTTCTTTAAAATTCGAACAGTATTTAGAATAGTTTTCATTTAAAAATACCTCATACGTTTCTTCACAGTACATGGCCCACGGAATAGCATATTATGGAATCTGCGATGAAAAACTCGTAAACAGTATGCCAAGTTTCAGTTTGAAAATCATAAAATGAATGTTGATATGAAAAGGTGTACCAAGAAATGCTGAATTCCGGCCGAAATCTTTCGCGTCCCCACATAACAAATGTAACAATAAATTGCGTACGCAAAAATTCAAAACTCATTTTATATTTCACACTCATTTTCCAGGGTGCTGAAAAAAAACGCAGCCCAGCAACAAAATTTAAATTTTGTTGTTGTTTTACCCATTATCTTCTTTGCATTTTAGATAATGCATATTTCAACAAATAATTTCGAATTTTCAGGAGCTGGCCCAATAAACTCGTTGCATCCAGCGACATGGTGGAGAACTATTATGGTCATAGCTGAAATGTTGTCACTTATCATCATGCAGTACAAAGAAATTTGAACATTTTTAAATCCAAAAAATACCAGAACCTTATAACATCCTGGTCTACCATATTTACTTGAGTACCACACGCACCTTTTTTCTCAAATTTCAGAAGAAAAAAATGGGTGTGCATCATAAGCGGGTACACATTTTTCACAAAGTTTTAGGAAGTTATGTGTGCATTATACTTAATTATAATGGAGAAATTTGAAAAAAAATGTAACAAGAAAACTTGTTTGTACTGAAAAAGTAAAAAAATTAATCAGATTTCTGTTCACTTCATGCATGTCTAAAGTTGATTTTTGTTTTTATTTTCAAAATTTTGAGGTTTTAGATTCACTAAAAATTGGGGTGCACGTCTTACTTGGGGATAAGATTTTAGCAAAATTTCCAACTGAAAAACCCCTGTGTGCGCCTTACTCAAGGGCACGTGGTACTCAAGTAAATACAGTATATCATAAGTTTTTATAGTCATACCTATTCTAGGAATGACCCAGGTTGTGTCCAAGTGGGGCAACCCCAGTGGAACAATTTTATTTTATTTTGTCCCATATGGTTATCTTCCCATGTTACAAGGGGTTTCTCCAACAAAATTCTCTGCCAAGCATTTTTATTATCATTATTATTTTTAAAGGGAGTCCATCAGTAATAATGATGACGAATCAGCAGAGCGAAGACGCAGGGGGCAAGCACAATGCCATCCTCCACGAGAGGCTGAGCAAGATGATCTGACAAGACTCTAATCGCGGGCGTCCTCTGGGAAACAAAAGGGGGGGGGGTCCGTTTCCGCTCGGCGCCGGGGGACCGGCGCCGCGGCTTCCGGCACGCGCGGATGATGACTTGTCACGCTTGCTGCGCATCGCCGCCATGCTCGGCTCATCGCTGCGGCGCCGGGCAGTTCGTCAGGCCGAGCAGCCCGAGCTGGTCGCCCTTGCACCCTGCGAAAAAGTCCCTTCTTTTTTTTTTCGGGGTGCAATTTCCGGGTTCCTGGTGCCGACATGGATCTGGTGCAGATGCAGATCATGAGAGTGTCCGACATGATCGGCTCGCTGGACTCGCAGCTCAGCAGCCGCCTCGAACAGCTCAACTCCATCCAGGGCGGAGGTACGTCAGTGTGACTCCCGAGCTGCACTGATTTTCAAGCACCGCCGTTTTCTTACTACAGTACAATAAAATTGCTCTTCTTCGAGACGCAGTGCCGAAAGCGTTTCGGAAACGGGCTTTCTCTTCCATTATTGCCTATGTATTCTGACCCGCAGTGATCAGTGAACTTTCATATAAGCAAAATGAACATAAAACTTGTACATGTTTCCGAATTAGTACCCTTCGGAACTAAATTAAACGTTTGCAGCACGTAATGGAAGTCAGGCGAAAGGAGAGTGGAAACTACTGTGTGGAATTGTTATTCCTTTTAATGTCAAAATTATTCATGACGAGGATTAGGATTTCATGCCGGTTTCTGCTGAAAACCTTTCTGAATTTGTGCGAAGTGGTTTTTTCAGGTGTTTACATTTTTATACGTTCAAGTACGTTCAAGATCTTGGAATTCAGAAGAAGAAATGTAACCAATAAAAATTAAGTTATAAGTAATGAAGTCAGCCGAAAAAAGAGTGGAAACAACTGTGTGGAATTGTTACTCCTTCTAATGTCAAAATTATTCTTGACTAGGATTAGGATTTCCTTCCGGTTTCTGCTGAAAACCTTTCTGAATTTGTGCGAAGTGGTTTTGTCAGGTGTTTACATTTTTATACGTTCAATTACGTTCAAGATCTTGGAATTCAGAAGAAGAAATTTAGCCAATATAAATTGAGTAATAAGTAATGATAAAATATCCAGCAATGAAATCTTCAGAATCTCTTCATGAACGCGGGTTTTCGAGACTTGTTCTCGAGCTCTCCTTTGATAATGGACATAAAAATGAATCCCATTACAATTTGAGACTAAATTAAGCGTCTGCAGGAAGTTGAAACAATTAACCCGAAGGAGAGCGGAAACGACAGCGTGACGCTTTTACTCCTTCTAATCTTAAAATGCTTTATGACGAGGATTAGGATTTGGCTTCCGGTTTCTTCTTAGAAACTCCCTGAATTTGCGTAAAGTGGTTTTGATTTCATACCTTCAAGTTCTAAGAAGACAACAGGTTTGAGATAAAGAATAATGATAAAGGAAGTCTCCAGCAATGAATTTTCATAATATTTTCATTGACGCATCTTCGAGACTTGTCGGTTCTCTTCCGAAAATTGGCATGAAAATTCCATCTTCTGCTACAGATCTCGAGAATTTTACAGTGAAGCCAAACTTTTTGAAAATGTATGATTCAGGCTGCGTATATGAAAATATGAACTAGTTCCCTTGAGATCTATGAAATGTTCCATATACAAGAATGCCCCAAAGTCTTATGGATCACCTTATTCTTTCCTGTCAATCTGATTCTAGATATTTTCCATGCTTCACGCTTTATCGATTTTTCCCGGGATTAGGAAGAAAAACCAGTGCGAACATTTTTCCAGCAGATGACTGTTCTTGGAGAATCTTTCATTTCCTTCAACCGCATGTTGCATGTCGGTAGCGAATCATCTCGTGTTCTTTGAAACTGACGAGGTAATAACCAGATGTTTCAACCAGCCGATGCTTACGCGTATGAAAAGTCGGAAGAATTTCATCCACTGGAATTGAAAGTTATTGCAGAGAAACATCGTAGAATCATCGCTATAATGCAGCCTTAATTTTGAAATATAACGTAGCTATGCTGCATAACAGTCTCGATTATTATATAACAGCAGCTCAGGAAATCGCCAGATTTTTCATAATTTTTTTAAGAAATCTGTAATTATTGTTTCCAACTGAGTTTTCAAAGAAAATACTTGTTTTTTTCTCAAGAAATTAAGTGCTACAAAGAACTCGTGTTTTCTAAGGAAGTTCTTCAAGAAAAATAGTACCCTATTTACTTGAGTACCATGCTTACCTTTTTTCTCAAATTTCAGAAGAAAAAAAGGGGTGCACATCACAAGCAGGTACAAATTTTTCAATAA